CTATATACCTGGTAGGTGCAGCTAATACAGCACTAGGATCACTTTGAGTCGGTATGATATTCAATCTCTAATCGCATCGAAAACAAAGCGAATTTGGTCGATCAGAAACAAGCCACGTGGTTCGTGTGGTCGACGCGTGATAAGGCAGGACGGGGGCAAGTGGCCTGCATCGTACTGTCAGCGAGCTGAAAATAGTCCATTTGCTCAAGTGTGCCAGATTTTGCTCTTCTCCATTGTCAGTTTGGGGTCCAGCCGACGGGTCAGTGGCATTGCCTCCCCGTCACTCTCTCAAAGCTGAGCGCCCCAAGGTTTTCTCTGTGAACAGAAACGACAAACGTAGTTATACACACCAACCATACACTTCAAGCAGATTCAACCAGATTCCGACTTGCACGCTTTCCGTCCTGCTCACGCCAACGCAATCTAGAGCATCGCCACAACCTCCACCCTTCCAAACGTAGGGGAGGGCGAGCGAACCAGCTCCGGTCTAGGAGTGTCGTCGGTGAGGTATTGCTCAACATAGGCCTTGAAGAAGGCCCGCCAGCTGGGCTTGGTAGGAATGAAGTGGCCCTGGAAGGTGGATGGTAACCCCTGAAAGTCAGCAACGGGTGTACAAGCTGCATCTCTTCGTGTGAGGGAGAGACATACACCTGAGTGCCATTCAATTCGTGGGTTCGCAAAGCATCTCGTAAGTGGGATCGAGTGGACTGAGAATCGGATCAAGAGGGTGACACGTCAGCTCGGAATGCGGTGTCTGGGAGAAGAACGCGGAGGAACTGACCATCCCCGACGACCGTGTCTCCGGTCCCGAGCACTATCGTGAATGTAAGTAACCATCAGAAGCGCATGAGAGAATAGAGGTTCAGCACTCACCCATGAGCGTCGGCGTGCGAATCTTGTCATCAAACCACATCTGGATCTGTCGCACACCGAGAAACATGCTTCAGTCCCCGCTGAACTATCAGTGTTGGTAATGTGAAAACTCGCACCTTCTTGTCCGAAGGGTAGAACCCAGCGGCAAGGATCGCGAATTCGAACTGCTTTGGTGGCCAGTTTGGGCCCGGCGCGTCGAACACCGGGTGAAGCTTTGGGTTCTGCAGGAGTGCCATCACAATAGCTTCAAAACGAGTGGAAGAACAACCCCTTATCAGCAGTAGGTCCCCGAATAGCTGCTCCTAATCACACATCCGCAGACACCAAAAAACCCACTCACCCGCCAAAGTCGAGCCAGTGGAGAACCCGACACACGCATCAAACGGACCCTCCTCCTCCATGACCCTCCTGACAAGCTTCAAGCAATCCACAACATCCCAGTCCTTGCCAAAAATGTCTCGATAGTCCTTCGCGTTGAGGTCCCCACTGAACGACCACAGACGCGGGATGTTCTCGGGGCGTTTCTGGACCGTCGTGCCATTGTCATCGAGGACGGAGTCGAGTTGAGGTTGCGAGTAGTCGGCGGAAGAGAGGGTTGGTCGGATGGAGAGGTATGGCTGGTGGATGTGCGAGACAGGAAGTGATGAAAGAAGTGCGAACAGGTGTCAGCGAAGGGGGGCGCGCACGTGAAACGAATGTCTATCGAGGATCTTAGGGTGCACGTGCGGGCACGGGGCTCATCGTTCCCTTCACGTCGGAGGGAGGTGAAGGGGTGGACTTACAGGGTCAACAAAGACAAACTCGACATTCTTGTCGATGTCGCGTCGGATGGGCTCAGTCTTGCCGCCTACAAAAACGTGCGGAGCCGTCAGCGCAGATCGTGAGACTCGCAGTGGCGCGGTCGCGTGTGGTCGTGTTCGTGTGGTGTGGTGTGGTGGGAGGGTGTGAGGAACGTACGGAATACAGCGGCGTTCTGGCCCTGCCCACAGAGCATCAGAATCTTGAGCTTCCTAGTCATGATGTGTTGAGAAATGAAGTTGATGAGAGAAAGCGAAGAAGGGACGAGAGACGCGCCCAAGACCCCGAGCGCGCGCGTACCGGACACCAGTCGCTTGAAAGTTGGCTAAATTTGGGCCGGGCGGCCTCGGTTTGAGCGCAGTAGCATCAGATAACAAGAGGAGGGCCTGGCGTTATAGGTTCACACCTTTCACATGTAAAATCATGGCTCACGCACGGCCCACTCAGAGATGCTATTTGGGCTCCCCGACGCTTCAAGCTTATCTTTGATGGGAAGATAATGAAGTTTCTTGTCTTGAAAAAGTCAACCATACAGCATACACATCTCCAAAGCGAGCCGGCGAGCTCCAGCCTTTCTTTTTGAAGCATGGCAATGACATTGAGCGCACCAACTCCGAAATGAGCCAGTTAGAGCAAACCAGAGCCTGGGAGATTGTTGCGAGACTTGACGTGTAACACGCCCAGCTTCGGCATGAATGTGAATCCTTCGCATCACTTTACAGCTTAAGGACACGTCAGCTCACGGTTGGCTCGAGGACAGATAATGCCACGACACAAATTTGGCAACTCATTGAGGACAAGCTGTTGATACAAGCACCTTGCGGTCATTTGATAGAGTGAGAGAATCGACCCTTCGAGAATCGTTAAGTCTGTGTTCAGGTGCGCTGACGTGTCACTGCCCCAGCAGAGAGTCCCTGGCTCCCAAGCTTGTGTCGCCACTGGCTCTCTGGCTCGTCCATCGTACTCGCCTCGCTCAGCGCGAATCGGCACACATTCATCGCGAACAAAAGTCACTACAATTTCACTCAACACATACACTCGCATCGAGCTCAACGACCTCCACCTCCCGCGCCGTCGTTCGCCGTCGTTCAACTTGGTCCCGCCGCTCGTTCGTGTCGGTTGTACGCCTTCGCCGAGCCGTCGCGCTTCTCGCACGACCTGCACCCAGAAACGCACCATCGAATCATCACCTAACCAGCTACAGATCATATCTGTCGACGGCGTATCGCATAGCCCTGGGCCACCGTCGTAGCGACACGACACGCCCAGCTTTCTCCTTCCCTTTCTCGCCCTTTCCTCAGCCCTCGACTACGACCCGAACAACAACTAGAGACACTTTTGCACAACTCTCGACAACCCCTCCCTTCCCTCCTCTACCGGTCCGGCGCTTCTCGCCTCCCTCCGTGCGCGCACCATGTCCATCTCGCATCCTTCCCCGCCCTACCCGGAGCCGTACACCCGCTCACGGACGAACCTCTTCCTCTCGTACCGAGACTCTGCGATCCGACCTTCGTCGTCGTTCTACTCGCGACCGGGCGCAAACGAGGATGACGAGAGTCGCGTCGGGTTGATGCACGATCTCGATGCCCCGGGGGGAAGTGCGGGCTCGAGTCGCTCGTTGCCGCCCAAGTGGGTTGACATTAGCGACAGGGTCGACGAGGTTATTGAGAGGGTCAAACCGAAACGTGCGTTCTGTTTTCTCTGACTTGAGCAACCCTGTGGACAGAGCGTGTCGCGTAGCGCTGGCGTTGCGTTGAACGAGGGGCGCCGCTGGAAGGAAGCTGATCTTGCTGGTTGGATAACAGTGGACAAGCTCGATAAACTACATGCAAAACACTTGCTACCAGGCTTCAAGGACCGCTCAGCAGAGGAGCGCGAGATCGAAGCTCTCTCGAACGACATCACTCGCGTTCGTCCCGCTCCCTCCTCGAGCTGCCCTTCCAATCTGATAGCCAACTTCCTTCCCACAGGACTTCCGAACAACCCAATCCCACATCCGCCGCATCGCCGAGCTCTCATCGACGCTCCTATCCAACCCCGCCAGCTCAAGCAGCACTTCCGCCGAAGCCCGCCGACTGGACCTCATCATGGCCGCCAACGTGCAGACGGCGCTCGCGACCAAAGTGCAGGACCTGAGTGGAGTGTTTAGGAAGAAGCAGAGCGAGTACTTGAGGAGGCTAAAGGCGGGCACCAGCGGGAGTGGAACGCCGACGGGGAGCAGCTTTGCGAGGAGTGGGGGTCAGGAGGATATGGACCCATTGATGAGCTTGGCTGATGACGAGCAGTATGTGCGTAGCTACCTTCTGTTTCTTGTGGGTGTTGTGGACAAGAGCTGACCGTATACCCCACTTACGGCCGCGTGTCCGCACGCACACAGTCACAACAAACGCTCTCGCACCTGCCGCCCACCTCGAGCTTCGCGATCGACCAGCGCACGAACGAGATCACCTCTTTGGCACAGAGCATCACCGATTTGGCCGACTTGTTCAAGGACTTGCAATCGCTCGTGATTGACCAGGGCACGCTGCTTGACCGGGTCGACTGGAACGTCGAGCAGATGGTTGGGGAAGTGAAGGGTGCGGTGACAGAGTTGGAGAGGGCTACTTCGTGAGTCTCACAATCTTTCATGAAACATACCCACTCAGAAAGGCTGGTCAGAAGAGGTGGTGGAGCTCAGGACGAGCAAGACGAGGCGCTGACGTGGTCGTCCCTCTTCCCGCACACAGGCATCAAAAGTCCTCCGGCAAATGTCAACTCATCTTCCTCCTCCTACTCCTCATTGCCGGCTGTCTCATCTTTATCTTCATCCGACCATCCCGGCATCCCTCACCGACGCCGATCGCCGACCCGATACCAGGAGTCCAGCCGGTGGAGCTTATGGGGGAGGCGAAGACAGAGGAGATGCTGGATCTTGCTGATGGAGTACTGAGGAGAGTGTTCGCGAGCGGGGAAAGCAGCGCAAGGCGGAGAGTGGGGAGATGGGCTTGAGGGTGCGCTTGATGGTGGGAGGTGAAGGACGCTTACGAGCGAATTGCGGGAGGAATAGAAGTTTTGCATTGGAACACGTAGTGCGTTTGTTGTACCCTGTTAGGTGTATCACTGGGAGTCGAACCCAGGGGAAGGCTACGTGCATAGCCCATCCATGACTGATGGTGGAAAGCGCCCCGGCTGCTTCTAGATTGTGGGAGTGCGCTCGCCAGTCAAGACGAACTAGCCTGCAGTAAGCTCAAATCCACAAAAAAAAACCTTTCGGGGGGTGTCTCCAGTTCCGGAAGGTGCGGACCAACAACAACCGCGCGACGGACACCAAAAAGAAATGCTGACGTATTTGGAGAGGCAGGGAATCGAACCCGGGACCTCATGCAAGCTTGAATCGAATCATGCTAAGCAAGCGCTCTACCCCTGAGCTACATCCCCGATTTTGATGATGACGTGTCCCAAACTGAACTACCCAGGGTACACGGCAACCTAGCAAAAACGAGGTGTGCCCTACATTGGACGTACGTCTTCGGTGACAGCTCCCAGACGAATGGAAAGGGGCTCGAAATGGTGGGTGCGCCACTGTTCCTAGGGGCGCGCTGGAATTGAAAATTCTGCGGTGTCGTCTCGCGGGGCGTTGTGGGCAAGCTGTTTGTTCCCAGGAGCCAGGTCCCTTGCGACAACTCTCCTATTTCGCCTGACTTCCTTTCGAGGAAACCCAATGATGAGTCTTCCTGTCAATCGGATGGAAACGCGCGTCCCGCAAAGTGCTCAAGCGACGTGAACGAAGAGGGTATCAAATGCAGTGCAGCGAGCTCAAGCCCATATAATCTAGAACATGTCCTATATAAACATACACAAAGCTTCTCTGCCAATTAAAGTTACAGTTTTACACCTCCGCGACGCTCTGCTGGTCCCACTCTTTCGTCGACTCACGACTGAAGTCCGGTCGCGGGCCCTTCAGCCACTGCTCCGACAAGAGCTCTCGCCGGAGACTGCTCTGGGCTTGGGCAACTTCCCGTCTTGTGACGAGCTTCTTGATCACCATGGCGGTGAGAGAGGCGCCGGCCAAGCTGTTGAAAGGGAGGGCACGTTCAGACACGTAGCTTGAATGGTTAGGACCAGGAGGACTCACGCCGCGTAGATCCAGATGATGCCGGTACAGAAGAACTCGAGTCTGGAATGAAGAGAGAAAAATCAGATCACGGCTTCGTTACTTGGAAGACGGAGGACTCACTGCCGCCCATCGGCCATCAACTGGAGGAACCGCAGGATGATCCACGAGCAGTAGGCAATGAACGCCAAGCACGCGGGAACCACAGATAAGAAGAACTGTCCAAAGAGATTGAAGATTCAGATTTCTCATTCATCGAAACGAGAGCAAGAGAGACACACCAGAGTGACGTCCCAATCAAGACGCTTCAGCCTAGTCGGCAGCGTGACGTTCGAAGCGAGGGAGCGCTGAAGAGCTGCTGGGTCGATGGCAATGTCTTCGAAGGGGTCGGAATCCTTGTTCAAAGTCTCGGTCGAGTTGAGGGGCGCAAGACGAGCGACAATGGGCTGATCGATGGGTACGATGGTGCCGTCAGGCGAGCCACGTAATTTCGAGAGGAGGACGAAGCCGCCGATCGCGTTGATCTGGAAGCGAAGGAGGAAGGAGCCATTAGCGAGCCATTAAAGTCGCCCATAATTGCGAGGACTCACCACGACTAAACATCCAGCGCCAGCGATGTAGACCTTCATGCACGTTGACTCGCGGTACAGGAACTCGGCGACGTATGCAAGCCTGGGGTCTTCCGTCAGTTTCAGGCTCCAACGACAGCCCAGTTTTGAGGATCACGCACCTGACTACTGCCTTCTGCTGCAGCTCATCATCCAGAGCAGCATTGACCGTCCCGTTCCACTGGGCGGCCGCGAGGGACGCTGCGTCGTACGTGTTCTGCCAACTAACCGCGAAATGCTTCCACCCGATCCCGGCCCAGATCCCTACTCCCGCCATTCCAGCAACCGTGATAGGGAGGAGGAAAACGAAGAGGGCGTTATGGACGAGGGGTGAGAGCTTGTGAGAGCGTGGCTGGCTGCCGACGGAGGAGAGGTTGGCGCCGGCGAGGACGGCGAATGTCGTGATTGCGGCGGAAATATAGAAAGGAATCCCTGACAATAGCTTAAAGTCAAATTTGGAGGAGAGAAGCGAGCAGGAGAAGATAACTTACACATCATCGGCATCCAAAGGAAAAGCGTCGTCGGGGAGCCTTGCTTTCCGAACATGTAGTATACCCGGATTGCGAACGCGATCCACACTGAAAAAAGTCCAACAGGATGTGAGAAAACAGACCAGAAAAGAACGAACGAAAGAATGCGCACATCCTGCAGAAGCGATTGAGCAGATCGGGTACAGCAGGTACTGGTTGATTGCGAGATATCTCCCTGCGACGCCGACCCTTGTCAGCAAGACCTCTCTGAGCATCACAGGACAAAGAACACACCTGCTGGTCTATCGACGACTCTCACAGCCCACAATGGGTTCCACAGTTCCCTCTTCGTCTCCTTTTTCGCATCCCGCACTTGCAACCACAGATAGACCGCCGAAACCGCAATCACGCTGCTCTCCAGTGTGGTCAGCCCCCGCCTCCGTATCATTCAACCTCCACCCACTCACAAGACAAGCAACACGAGGAGTCCCGCTGTCCTTCCCTTGAATCCTCCCGTGAAGGGCGGGTACATCTGTGCTACGAGGGTCGTCTGCACCCAGGCGTAAGGGTTCTGAACGTCATCAGGGATGTCGAAGCCTGCTATTTCCACCATGGTGGGAAACTTCAATAGTTTGTGTATCAATCTGTGTCGAGTCGTAGGCGTAGCAGATGATGGTGTGGTCGTAAGGGAGGGTGGCCACACTGACGACCCAGATGTTCGAAAAATGATGGGCGACGGGCGGACCCAGGCTCGCGACGAGAGTTTTGTTGTGCCTGTCAACCACCGACCGCAAAGCGTTAGGCAACAAACTAGTGGGGCCTGTCGGTCGATCTTTCCGCATCGCCTGGCCCAGTCAGAGTTGGAACGCACCTTCCGGATCTGAACGCGTCTCACGTGGCGCGCCCGGGCTCAGGAACTCCGCCCAGAGAACATTCTCAGAAGGTCTCACCGCCGAAGAACGACATTGATGCCGTTATTAAGGGGGAGCAAGGTGAGGTTGGGAGAAATAGAGTCGCAGAGCTCATTTGCTACAAGGGGAGATTCGGGAAGTGCAAACTATATTTTGTCAGTAAGCGCGGCAACGCTTGATTGGGGGTTGACGTGGTCTTTGGGTACGACGTGTGGCTGGCGTTGGGTCTGTACATTGCAAAACCAGCCAGTGCCTAGAAGGCACTCAGGTCCATTCAGAGGATCAACACCGGCCGCTGACTGGGCGAAACACATCGTACGATACAATGTCTGTCCCTCGAAAATCGCGCGAGGCTGGTCGACCCGTGCAGAGGTCCAGAGTCCTCGCCCACTGCCGCGGCACCTCCACCAGGATTTGCGGAACACGAAGCAAACTTCATGGAAACAAGCATGTTGAGAAGCAGGTTCGTAAAGAGGCACACGTGCAGTCGTTGTTCCGGATGTGTGTCTTGACTTCGGGGGCAGCCGGGAGCGTCTGAGGGAAGGAGCCTGAAGGTCGTTCGATGCGCCTCACATGGTCATTAATGCAAGCACAAAAAGTGGCTGAAGATACTGCACAAACTAAACAACCTGCTACGATGCTTTCACAGATCCGCAGGATGCGATGGTCTACCAACACTGCGCAAACCGCACCAAGTTGGTTGACCACGTGTACAGGCTGGCCGCACGCTCCATTGACATCTGAGGTCCACTGTTGGCCAGCTCAGCCTAGATCAGCTATCTTTTGTTCATGAGGGAGTTAACGCCGTTACACTTGAACCTCGCTGAGCTGGCCGTGCATCCGTCGCCCATTTCTGTTGCTCACAACGAACGTGATGTCGTCTTGTACCTTTGTGCTTCACATAGCTATAAAAAGGGCATACGACCGATTGGTACTGATGAGCTTACGAAACGCTGAGGTTCGTCGAACAAGTGATAGAAAGTAGTCAAAGTCCGCGGAGTTGAGCCTGTCAGCCGTGCGATCGCTGGCCTCCCTCCTCCGTCGCCTGTCAACCCCGTCAAAAGTTGCTACATCGCAATTGAATGCTTCGAGCAACGTCTGGCTCTCGAGCCAAACGAGCGTACGCTTCACTCCGCTTCCTCGCTCCGACCACCTCGTCGTCGTCGTCGTCCCGCCAAGCGCCGTGGGTGCTGGGAGCGGCTGGCGCTGGAGCAGCAGGATGCGTCGCGGTTGGCTCGATCAGAGCGTATGCGAGCAACAGAGATCCATTACTGTGTGAAGAACGGAAACCGCTGAGGAAGGGCGAGGTCAAGGAGGCGGACGAGGTGAGTGCATGCTCTGGCGCTGTTCGTGGTTGCGTCGGAGCTGATGAAAGGAAGCGAGAAACAGGGCAAAGGAGGATTCTTCGACATCCAACTTCCATCACTTCCATCTCTCCCGACTCTCACCTCCCTCACCGACTCGCTCACCTCACTTCGAACGACGTTTGAGCGCCTCCACGGCGAGCTCACCCACGCGCCCACCTCCGCCTACGCCCGCATCCAAGCCACCTCCACCGACCCCAAGGTCCACCCAGAGCTAGAGTGGGATGCCAAAGTGCGGCTGGGGAACGACGTCTCGCATGCGGAGCGAGCGTTCGTCCGGGCGAGGCGAGCGAGGATGGTCGAAGCGTTCTCGAGACTGATGGGCGAGGAGGTCGACGAGAGGGACATCCCCGTCGTCGCTGTTGCAGCATCTGGTGGTGGATATCGAGCGATGGTGAACACCTTGGGAGCGATCGAGGGTGCGAAGGAGACGGGGCTGTGGGATGTGGTCATGTACGCGTCCGGAGTGTCAGGGTCGTGGTGAGTTGGCCTTCACTTTTCTCACGAGATTATCATGCTGACTATTTTATGTCAGCTGGGGACTCTCGAGCTTGTACAGCATAGGTCAGGGCGACATCAAACAGACTATTGATCACGTCCGGAACCGGATCGTCACGCCGTTCCTCGATCCCGAGACGCTCGACCTGCTAGCAGACCATAAGACCGCCGAGGTTGGCTCAAAAATTTCTCTCTTTTTTTTTATGAACAATTGCTCACGCACCTCCCTCAGTACATCCTCAGCGGCACCGTCCTGAAAGAAATCAGCGACAGCGCCGACAGCACCGTGTTCGTCCCTTTCGCTCGCTCCTGCCCTGCTCATCCTAACATCCCCTCAACTTCCAGAGTCGACGTGTATGGCACTCTCGTCTCTGCCCGTCTCTTTGTTCCCTCAAAGTCCACCTCCCCACTCTCCGCCTTGGACCTCAAGATCTCCGGTCAACGACGATTCCTCGACGAGGGCGAGCAGCCCC